ATTATTATTATTTTATAATAAGTACATTCTTTGATGTTGCTGCCCGGGAGGGGGATGGGGGCAGGACTGGCTCACAGCTGGCTCGATTGCTGGCTTGGTTGCAGTGGAGGGCACAGGGCTGATGCCCTCAGCTCTGGCTCCAGCCTTTTTATTCACCTTTTTTCTGATAGCTGCTGCGGTCTGCCCTCATCCATTTTAATGAGGTGCAGAAGGAACACACCCTGTTCCTCTCTCATTTCCCCCCTCAAGTTTTCTCTCTCTCTCAGTTCATTCTTTCCTCAAACCCTCCAATTATGCCATTGTGCTCAGCCACTGAGCTTTTAATTTCAGTTACTGTATGTAGGGAAAGTGAAGGAAAATGGTTAGGGCCCCTCAGATGTTCAGAATCTTGCCAAGCACTTGATGTAAATATGCACATGTGCACCCAGGTGTTCCTTGGCTATTGTCTAATGTATTTGCACATGTGCACCCAGCTGTCCTGTGTTATGGAGTTAAGTATCAAGGATTAGTGTCTCTGATCCACAGGGGCCCCCCTGCCCCTGGGATGCTCCCAGGGGACCATGGGAAGGCCGCTACTGCTGCTGACTGAGGATTGAGGACTGAGCTCATGTGTCTGCCAGTGGCTCCCAAGATCTTTCCCAATTACCTAGAGCATGGACCTGCATGTGAGGGGTCTGGTGAGCCAGGCAGGCATGTGAGGGGTCTAGTGACCCAGTCTGTACAATGGGTTTGAAGGGTCTGTGGGCCCTAGCCCTAAAAATATGAATGGGAACTTAGTATAACTAAAATAATGAAATGTTTTGGTTTTAGTTATGAATTCCCTCAGCCCCTACAAGTGGCATAGTCATGTAGCTTTACACTGTATTTTTTAATTCAAAAATTTCCACTTGGTTCTCTTTAACACCTTCTATTTCTTTCTCTCTCTGCTGAGGCTTTTTATTTTTTCATTGGTTTCAAGTGTGTTTGTACGTTGAAGCATTTTTATCATTGTCAGAAAATTCTAACATCACTGTCATCTCAGCATTTGCATCTACTAATTGTTTTAGATCTTCCTGGTTCTTGGTATGATGATTTATTTCTGATTAAAACGCAGACATTTTCATATTATGAGACTCTGGATCTGGTTTAAACCTTCTGCTTTAATTGGCTTTTTGTGACTCTCATTACTGCCAGGTGGAGGTAGAAGTCCAGGTTCCCCAAGTGGACTCCACTGACACCAGAGGGGAGAGGCTTCTAATTACTGATGAACAGGTATGGGAGTTTCATCTCCTCATGTAGCCTCCACTGACAGTGTGGCAGGGGTGGCTTCATTGCTAATAGGCACTGGTGAAAGTCCTGGCTCTCCACTAGGTCTATGACACCAACACAATAGGGAGGGAAAGAGGCACCTCATTTCTGTGCTGCAGGTGTGAAAGTCTTGGCTCCCCATGTGGTTCCAGTGATATCCTGTGGTGTGTGTGTGGTGGGTGGGGGAGGGGAGCTCTTTATAGGCCAGTGGGGATGAAAGTTCTGGCTTTTACTTATCCTTCCTAACAGGGGTGTTGAGATGCATTGTTATACCTCATATGCATGGAAGTCTAGGGCCCTCACTCTGCTACTGCTTACATGGGTGGGAGTGAGGCCACGGTTTATCTGGGGTGTTTGACTGTAGTGCAGAGTGGTTGTTGTCTAAAGGTTTTCTATCTTGGTAGGCCGTACTTTTCCTGGTCCTTTGGTTATATAGCACAGGCTTTGGTTGGGGCTTTCTGTACATGTATCTTTGCACATTGGGGTTTCCAAGTTGCTGGCTTCTTTGGTTCTAAGCCTTGGATATATGAGGCAAAAAGAAAACCCAGAGATTCATCACGGTGTCATTCCTTGGTTCTTGAAGTCCCTAGCTAGTATGCCTTTTTTTTCTCCCCCTTTTAGAGTTGTCTTGTGTTTATTTTATATCTAATGTCCAGGGTTTTAAGCTGTATTTAGTGGGAAGAAAGGGAAATATGTCTACTTAATCATCCTGGAAGTGAAAAATCTCTCCAATTGCATTTTGATTTGCATAATCTTTCTCAAGAATTTTCATCATTATGAAGTGGAATGTAAAACATGAGATTTACTCCTCAATATTTGAACTCTGATCAATGTCTCACCAGAGATACATTTAAGAGATGTAAATTATCTTGCTAACATGCTACTGATTAGTAATCCACTTAGAGCTTATTCATTTTGGCTTAAGAACAGAACAGGCAGTTTAAGTTCCAGCTCTATAATTACATTCAGATGTTACATCCTTCATCATGATAATTCTGCAAGATGTTACAGTGCATGAGTCTCTCCCTACTCCAAACTTGGATTGATGTCCAAGATGGTTTAACAAAGGTGTGATCTCATTATTTGCTTCTTCTCATTTAAACATTTACTACAGGTAATAGTATGTAAGAGTGTTGAGCCAGTCAAACAAAGGATATATAAAACAGAGAAAAGGAAGCCATAAAGAAATAAGTTGTAAGAGCAAAAAATATCAATTTGATAATGTTTAAATATGCTGTGAGATCATCTGTTAAGAATGGTCTTGCTTGCTGCTTTCCTACTTTTTAATATTTTTATGTATACCTATAGTAGATACTTTTGGGGTTGTCTGCCCCAGGCACAATTTGCTGGGGACTGTCTCTAGATCCACAGAGGTAGGGCTTCCAACAGCCATGTTTGCAACTATGTGACCTCCATCCACTAGCATGGTTGCCAGTCAGATTATCTTTCCTTATAATTTAAAATTGGGACGGAGAGACAGTGAGTCAGTCTTGTAAGTGAAACTGCTTTGGGACGCAAATTTGTGTGCTGAGACGTGAAAACTTTCTGTGGAGAGAGAAAAGCAGACACCGAAGACATAAAAAGCCCTGGTAGTTTTCCACTTTCTAGTCCTTTCCTGAAGCCTGGCTGAATTTCCTTTCCCTCTGTTTCCATGAGTAACATTGTATTTTCTTATGATTCTTCCCCCCATACCCTACCTTATGCTTTTTCTTTAATCTAGCTTGAATTGGTTTCTGTTATTTGTAACCAAAGAAGTCTTAATTAATTCAACCTACTACATCTTTGTAACAACTTCAGGCTCAGGACAATCCACATTGAGTGCATTTCTGGGTTTACAGCATATAAGTATATAACCTCTTATGAAAGTAATGACTAAAAATCAAGCTATGTCATAACTGTCACCCAGACCTCTTGCCTGTCTCCAACTCACCTTCTCAGCCTCTGTGCCCATGTTTGTTATATTTTGTTATTAGTTTCCTGATTACTTATTTCATTGATATTTTCATACTTGATCCTTTATTTGCCTGGGCCTACACCATGTATTTGCTTCTCTCATGTTATCTGACCTATTAGACTGAATTCCAGGCAGGCACTGCCTTCCCCAGCATGATTGCTACCCCAGTCCATTAGAAACTGCCACCAGTTGCCTATTATTGTAATTTTACTGAGTTTTCTGGTTACACAATAATAAGCACTAGTAATAAACATTTAGGAAAAAAAGCATAAAGAGGAAAATCATCCCCTGCCAATATTTTAACTATCCAGAGATAGTCATTGTTGGGGAAATGTGCTTTCAGAATTCCTTCCATGCACATATGTGTTTGAGTGTGTATAATATGCACCTACATATAAATGCATGCACACCAAATCAAACTGTTCTGTAGCCTGTTTTTATTCACTTACATATGGTGAACATCGTTCCATGTTAATTATTATACATTTATAATATTTAATAGCTACATAATATTTCATTCTATGGATGTACCACAGTTTATTTAAGCAATTTTCTATTGTTGGACATTTAGGTTCTTTTCTTTTTCCTTCTTAATGACTCTACTCAAACAAAAAAAAAAAAAAAAAAAAAAAGAACATCACTCAAACCTCTTAGCCCTTACCTAGGTTTTTCCCTTAGGATCAATTTCTAAAAATGGAATTTTTTAGTCAAAATAGATGTATAGTATTAAGGATTTTTTACTTATATTGTTGGATTGCCTTTCAGAAACTCTGTATCAGTTTATAGTCCCACAATCAGTGAATGAATTCTTCCACTAAGAAGCAAAAGTGAATGGTATTTCATCATTGTTTTAATTTGCACTTTTTGGATTTAAGTGAGATTGAACATGTCTAAATATTCACTGGCCTTGTTTTTTTCTTTTGTGAATTGCTTGTTCATAGCCTTTACCCATTTTCCTATTAAAATATTCATAATTTTCTAGTTGATTTCTAGGCACTCTTTGTATATTAGTATATTGGTCCTGTTTTTCATTTATATTATAAAGAGAAATGGCAAAGTGTAACGACGAGGTTCAGAAGAACTCTGGAGCCAAATGTCTAGTTGGGTTTGAATCCATATTCTCCTACCTATTGGATTATGTGGCTTTGGGAAAATTACTTAATCTCTTTGTAGCTCAGTTTTCTCGTATAAAATGTAAGGTGGATATACATATATAATTAAAAACAGTGTCTAGCAAATAGAAAGTACTTTATAAAAATTTGTTGATAATATTAGTATTACATTTATTATTTTCAGTTTGTTACTATCTTTACTTTTACTTATATGGGTTTCCTTTAGGCCTTAGAGATAGTTTTGTTTTTTATCTTTAAAAGAAATCTGGTCTCACCCCTTCTGATTTCCTCTGAGTATCAATAAACCAAAGTAGCTCGGGTTAATTATTTCTAATTATGATAACCCCCTAGAATTACAAGGTTTAAAAACACCTGAAAATTTTCAAGTCAGACTGTGATCGTACTTTATTTATGCATACTTTATTCACAGATCCAAATTAATGAGTAGTTTCATGCAAACAACCAAATAGAGCTAGACACATCCATTGTTTTCTTAAGGCTTTGGGCCTTTGTCCTTTTGTCAAAAGTGGTGTATCTGACACCATTTTCAAGAGCTTATGTTTGTTTCTTAGGATAATGAATTAATAAGCCTTACTTCTTTATAAAAGAATGTATTAAATAACTAAGAATGATAGGATTGTATTGACTTACTGATGATGGATTTGGAAATTGGTTCTTGGATTGGATAGCTGTTTTGTCTGGGTAGTTTGCATGTTTTTAGTGCTTTCCATGATAGGTAGCAAGTAATTCAATATTTCTTGAGTTTGAGCTGTTCTTTCATCCTTATACATTGTTTTTTCATCATCTGTCCAGTTTATGCCAGTCTTCTTTCTTTGGGAAGATGTACGTTCTTTCATTTTGCTTTTTAAGTTGTGATGCAGATCTGGAGAGCAACCACAAAAATATGTATGGATATATGAACTGTATTCATTCAATAGTTATTCATCCAGCATTATTACATGCCAAGGATTTTATCTAAAAATACTTGCCCATTTAAAGCTTATACTCTAATGATATTGGGTTGAAAATATATAAATAAGTAAAATATATAGTGTGTCAAATAATGATAATATTTATAGGATAACATAGAGTTGGGGAGAATAATAGAGAATTCTTGGGGGAGGGGAGTTGATTTCTATTTCTAAAAAGGTGTTAAGAGAAAGCCTCCCTGTGAAGCTAACATGTCATAGCAGTTGGGGAGTGGGTCAAAGATGTCAGGGGAAAGAGCATTCAAGGTAAGGGGAACAGCAAGTGCAAAGGCCATTACTGGGGTAGGAGCATGGTAGTGTGTTCAAGAGCACCAAGATGGCATCAGGGGCTGAAGCAGAGTGAACTAACGAGAAAGTTATGAGTTCAGGTAGGAAATTTGTACTGAGCTCACGCAGGGCCTCATAGGCCATTGTAAGAACTTTGATTTTTACTGTGAAAGGCATTGAGCAGGAGAGTGTCACAGTCTGAGGTGTGTTTTAACAGGATCGTGTTGGTTGCTCTGTTGAGTACAAACTGAAGAGAGGCAAGAGTGGCCAAGCAGGGAGATCTCTTAGAAGACTATTGAAGCAATCCAGGAGAGAGGATGGTAGCTTGCAGCGGGGTGAGAAAAGTGTGCATGTGAGCATGTGGGGGGGGGGGGGGCCTGGAATTTTTTTGGGGTTTTTTTTAAAAAACGGGATGGGGGGGGGGGGAATGAGGGG